TAAATAGTTTGCCTTAAAGCTTGTTCATTTCGCACAATTGTGCTTAGTTCTGTATGCAAATAATTTTTATAAATAAAGATGTTATTGTTTTCAAAACCTGATTGCCATTTTCATAGTTGTCTTATTTATAACACGTTATAACTATAGAAAATAAATTGATAACCTTCAGAATAATATTGGGCAAAAACAGTGTTGTGAAGACTGTATCTTCCTGAAAAAAACAATCACTCAATATATACAATTCTCTTTGAAAAACAGCTTTGTTGGTAATTTATGAATATGCAAATTAGCTAATTAGCATATATGATGTCATAAATAATTGGGCCAATCCACCATCTACATTTTGGTACCAACTTTACATCCGTATCTTCATATGTATTGAAAATATGGATCCTTTAATAATTTCATGATATTTCAGGTTGCCATAGCAACATGTCAATTTTCACCTCTTTCAGGGCATTTTCCGTCCTGGAAACAAGCATTTTTGAAAAAGTCAGAAAATTTTGCATAAGAAAAGTCTGTTTCCGCAATGTTTGACGTGGGGTGCAGCTAAACTCCAAATTCTTGGCCTTAGCTTCCAGACTATTGCGATTGCATCGCGGTATAAGAATGTCAGTATAAATAATCAATTATATACAATTCATGATATTCGCATATTGGAGAATTTCAACCGTTTCCAACATCCGCTAACAAATACTGACTATGAATATGTTGTGAAGAAACTACGGTATCATTGATTTTGCACGTGATATATATTTTTAAAATCATAAGGTTCGATATTAAACAGAGTATTTTCTCGTACATCCCGTATCCAGTAAGAAATGTTGTGAAATACACAGACGTTAAATCACTCTAAACTAACTTTCAACTCCAATTGGAATGTCGACACATCGTACGAGTAATTTAATGTATTTACCTGTTTCATTGGTTATTTCTCCATCTGCGCATGGCACGCATTCATGACAACATTTGGGCTGGCCGTCCAACACAGCTTGACGTGAACCAGGTCTACAAGGTACTGCACACTCTGATGTCGGTATCTGTAAAAACAGCAAACTACATGTATTTATTTATTTTATTTTGAAGCATTGATATATCATTTATTTTAGCATTACAAAATGCCTACGGGTTACTAACATAAATATTACGTTTTGGAATTGGTGAATACATAGCAGATTTCAACAAATGCTAAAGTTGCATTCCAACATCTAATGATCTCCGGAAAAAAAACATATACTCTAAGGGCTTTGAATTTCATTTATTTTATGTAGAATTCTGAAATCTAATTTAGAAAAACTCTCAATAGAGTTAAGTGGCCACAACAAAAATAATTAGGCTTAATTTTGTGAATAAACACCACGACCTTCAGTGCATGTTAGCTTCAATTATCTAATATTGCAGGATTCATTGCTTAACCAACTAATTGTATCATTTGTCATTGATCGGCGGGAGAAGAAATCTGCTTATGATTCAAAGTGGGAATATAACATTAAGCTGATTATGTTTTTATCAAATAATTTCCTTCACGGTTTAATAGGTGAAGGTTGGCTGTTAATATGAAACCAATGAACTGATTGAATATTGCCAAAGAGAGAAATAGTAAAAGTGAAATCGCCCTTTAATAAGTTTGGTGATACCCCGTGTCGTACAAAACGACATGAGAACGTCTTATTATGCTCAAGATTGAACTTTATGATCAGATTGTATTTATTGAAATTTGAAATATCTGTTTTCACAACCGGTGTTATAAAATAGTGTAAGACGATTTTATGAACAAAATATCCGTACTAAGCACAAATGTTTGATAATAAACAATATGGTCCAGTGTTTATTTATTACATATTACCTCTACATGGTAGCATATTGGTGCGACGAATTCATGTTTACATGATGTTATTAGTCATTTTTTATTAAGTAACTGCCTTAAATACGTGAAATTATCGTTCAAATATAATTACTGAATATATGTAGAATATCGAAAGTCGTGGATAATAATAAAACTATTTATCAATTCATCTACTCTTCGCCGTGTTCGTTTTTAGTGCCTATACGTATACAATAAATGAAAAGCTATTTCTCAACCCATATGGTTAGTTGAATAATCATCAACTACCACCTTCTATAAATCCATAGTGTTATTTGAGTAGAACGAGATGTCGTGAGTTTTTGATTTCGTGATATTAGCAAATTCCTTGGTACTAGATTGTGTTATGCTGAACATTACACAAATCTTATTTATGACAGTACTAGTTACGAGAATGAATTGTTCAGACGTTGGTTGACTTACAAACAACACGAATATGGAATTTTGTTTTCAATTTACAAATAAAATAAACATCTGAAGCATAATTCTTGTCACCCAAAGAATATATATGTATAAACATACCGATCGGCTTAACTCATTCCAAATGATAACTGTGTCTTCCAATCGAAGTTTTGATCCATTTTGTATGCGATTGTCATAGTGACCGACTGGTACCACTTTAATTTCCCGATCTTCATTTAGCTGCCAGTTCACCAAATGATACACACCCAACCCATCTCCGTTCTTCCCAAAGTTGAAGTGGTGTCCGTCAGTACCTTGGAAAGTAACGTTACTTACATAGAGTAACAGTTGCCAGGGCTGTAGCTTGCGGATATCTGGACAACGTCCTCGAGCGAGAAGTCCTGCGCCATCGACACACTTAATAATATTATTCAATGCCGTAGCGATGGAATATACGGCCAGGTACACATTATATGACACGCGGAAATCGGCATTACCATACACGGGGGTATTCCTTATGTTTCCATCGTGTGAACAGACTACCGTGTTGTACTGTACTTCGTCGACATACTCAGACAAACCTGAACCATGCATGTAACCCTGTGATTCCAATGAGCAGTGAAAGGCGGATTCCCACATTTGAGCGAGAAATGGATTCTTCTTGACCGCTTTTTTTGTGGGTCTAAGTTTCAGTAAATGTTGTGCGAAATTTGGGATTTTCCCTTCCATTAACAGTACTCCTATAGTTCCATCGACAACTGTGGGCGCTTGACGCAAAACTTCCTTGCTGTCGCCCCATGACTCACATGCAATCCAAAGACGATCTGTTTAAAGCAATAAGAAAACAGTTCATTTGCGCTAGAGCAGTAAATACCATGGTATTTTACAGTAAATACTGTTTTACAATAAAGAAATGACTGATAATTCTACAACATATGGTAAAATATGACAGTAATGATTTACACAACGCGCTAAATTTTGCATATAATCGACACGAGTCATAATAATATAGTGTTCACAGAAACGAACTTTTTTTTCGATTTTCAAGATGTTCGACTTCTGATAAACATGTCCGGTAACCTAAATACGATGTGTTAAATGTATCACAATTTTAATATTTTCAAACGTGACATTCATCGAAATATGATATTTGTTGTATTAAAAACAAAACGAAAAGCCGCAGTTTCATATAATCCATCAACGAGAATATAAATGTCATTTTGCAAAAAAAAGCGTTTTTAGAAAAGATATGACAGTTACTATTAATTGTCACATACCCGATGCTATGATACGAAATGTTACCGACCTTTGCCCTACACAGTATTCTAGGGGTGTTTATCACTCAACTATACTGATAATACGCGCATGTAATTAACAGTTGAAAAAGCAGCTTTATCATATACCTCGTAACGCTATGGGAATCCCGATGCGCGAGCCGTGCAATAATTTCCTATATCACGCCTGGGCCCCGTATATCATATTTTTTAAACGCGTATATTTGCTGGAACTACTTTTTAATTTGAGATTATCGCTGATAAAGGCTGACGATATTATTCAGCGAATAGGATATATACCGAAAGACTATTGGACTCATTATTACCCTGACAAAAGCCAGCATTCGACCATAACCAATTATAAAGATAACTGGTCACAAAAACGTGTCAAGTTTACTGCACTACGATACTGTTCTCCACGGAAGACCATCGGCGCATTTCAGATACTCTTAGTTGAGCTATGCTTGAATCCAGAACTGTAAACCAAACTGCTTCTTGCCAAGCAATTGTTTTCGTCAACCGATTACAGTTTTAACTAACTTAGCTGGACTGTAGTGTTCATTTTTAAGAAAGAAAATATGAGTTCGTATTTCTTACCGTTAAAATATTATTATAAATTTACGTTCATTTGCTGTTTCATTAAAACGCGTGATAACTGCGATTTGAAATTGTTCCAAGTTTACTGGGTGTCCCCCCTATTTAGAACATTCATTATGTTTAATTATGGTTAACTAACCGAGTCGAGGGACAGGAGAACGGAACATGCTCCGTTAAATTGAAGTTCGGGCAATTATAACGCAACACTCACAATGATAACTCACACTATCTTCTAAAAGCAGATTTATTGTGTCTGCAATCAATTCTTCATTCAATATGTTGTAAAATCAACAATTTTCAAGATGCTACATCATGAAGTCAAGCGATCGAAGTGCATGCGAGGACTAAACATGCATAATTTTGATTTATTTTACTATAATGGAGTTTATTAGAAAAATTATTAAACAGATTTATTGCACGGCACTGTTGCGATATATATTTTTTATGCAGTTATCACATGTACTTTATTTTATTTGTTTTACTCGCATACTTGTGAAGAAGATAAAACAGTCGTGTTTGCTGTTTTTATTTGCGTAGTAAAAGATGTCGGCACACTCTGTGATATCATCAAACATGACTTCTGAAAATAGAAAGCGAATTTCTAAAGGCATGATTAGATTTGTATCGAGGCAAACTTGTTTGTCTAGGTTCAACACGGGAAATGAAAATACGTCATTTCCGGCCACTATATTGTAGATAATTGTAAACCATTCAAACATTAAAACAACTATCCGTAGGCATTTCATGGACGTAAATGGTCCTGTGTCATTTTTGTGCGTACATTTGATTTGTGGTAACTATTGCATCTTGATGTCGGGTAATTGTATTGATTTGCCTGCATTCCATTTATTACGTTTTAGAACTTGATTATTTTTTTTCTATTTCAATTGACAAAAAACAATTCGCGGAAATATATTTGCATTAATAAGATGTGATGCCATATATGCGCTCAGTGTATTTAAATAGCCAATTGATTACTACTGTAAGATCATTTCTGTCTAAGATTATTTCAAATACTCCTTTGCAAGCCAAACATTTAAGCAAAGTTTATAAATGCCACTTGTAATAGTACTAATATCACATTTGTGTAATCTGATGTGAATAAGCACGAGGCAAACGACAATGTAAAATTCACAAATTATTGGTATCATTAAGCAGGACGTATATCCGTTCTGCATAGCTTGCGACAGCCAGGTTGAAGCGGTAGCAAACTCCAATTATGAAACTAATCCAACAGCTGAAATTATTGATTATATCATTCAAACGCCTGGATGAGTAGGTGAAGATTTTTCTTTTACGTGGCTATACTAACAAAATTACGCATATTATATATAGATCATGAATAATATATATATGTATATAAATTAGCCAGTCTGTCGTTTAATCAAATTATTTCTTTGGTTGCCCCCAGTTACTATAATTAGATCAGCAGTTGTACAGTGCCCAATTCTCCAATTAAGTGCATTAATATACTATATATACTGTACACGATACTTGTTTTGTTTTTTTGATAGTGGCAAATTGAAATATAGGTGTATGGAATGATTTAAACCCATTTATAATGACACGTTGTAGAGAAACCGTAATTATTTAAATCCAATGATATATATTCATATCGATGATTATATCTTGCAGTGTTTTTTGCGATCTATTAGAAGATCATGAGTTAAATAGTGAAAACTGTTTTACGGCTTTGGTTTGAGTGTAAATTTAATGAATGTGTTTTTGTTCGTATTGCTTTCAAATCGTTAGGGTGTAAGTGAAGTAAATTAAAGCGAATACGGCTATAACTTTGTTTAAGTGTTTGAATGAAAATACAATATTCAGTTTTAACCAGTCATTACATACAATATTTTCGCATGTTTTGATTATATTTGAAACAAACTCCTTACATTTGAAACGTACTCTTGTATATAATGATTTGAGCTGGTTAAGTTGTTGCGAACTTGAGTGTTATGTCTTTGGTTCCAATCTACATACGTGATTGAGTGAAATCATTTTAGATAGGGTGAATTCAGAAGTTACCATCAATTTATATTATTAAAATACGGAGTAGAATTGTAAATAATAAGCCTGAGGACGCTGCGTCAGTTACACAATAAACATGCAAATTACCGCTAAATTCTTGATAAAAGCGAAAGTGTTATGAGACTTATTATTTTCCCTAAAATAAAGTTTCATTCACCACGCCAACTGCTCCAAGTGCATTAGTCAGTCAAACAGTCAACACAATGACACTAGAATAGAATGGAAAACTAGTCATTTGCTTTGTTGACTTAAACGGGGACTATTACAATCGGATTAAGCTACTTTTACATTGAGTACATCTGTTTTCAATATAAACTAGCTGTGAATATGACGTATGTACCCGAATTGGAAAACACCTAAATCACTGTTTTCTGAACCCTGATAGAATCGACTACGAGCAGTCTGGTATTCAATGAATAAATCAATGCAAAACGGAAAGCGATTACTAATGAATTTTATATTACATTTACAAAATAGTCGAAATTTGTAATAATTTTTATATTGAGAATGTATGACTTACACGCTCGTATACAAACATTATATATTATAAAAAAAGGATTCTACCTATGTTAATGGCATTTATAGAACACGTGTCTAGCATTTTGGATCTGCCCAGGATTATTTTCAAATGCAATAATTGTTTTAACAAAATGCTATTATATCTACTTGGTTAATGTATGAGTGGTATAAGTACATAGCTTATTCCTACGTTATACAGGTTGTCTGCTAACCAATGTATCCTAGAAGAATTAATCTTGGGCTTATTTGACCTTATTCCTCAAAGAGTTTTTAATTATATCAATCGTTTAATTTGAAATACCCAATGATTTATCTGACTAGCATGTATTATTTCATGGATGGGCTTGCAGAACGTGAATGCAATGCGTTATATTATACATAATGACTGGTAATTTTAGGAAGATAGCATTTGTTTTATTTTCTCGATGTATTTTGACTCAGAGTATGCCGTGTTTCAATGACTACAATCGTCTTCATGACCAGTCAATATGTGTTCACAATCGTACTTTATCAAGGTATTCATCTAGTCAGGATTGAAATACAGACTTAAGTTTACTTGCCTATTTATCCGAAGAAAAGTGATTGTATTTGTTTGTGAATGGCGCCCATTTTGTCATTATTAAAAAGGTTACATTCTATGAACAGTGTCATGTGATTTTCGACTAACTATCAACTATGTAAATTCAACCAACATGATGAGTTGCACCTTTGTAACCAAGTGTATGTTGACTAACTATCAAAGGATAGATAGATATAGCATGATTGGGAATAGTCCGTCTGAACAGATACAAGCATCGCATATCAGGTTACCGTCGTCTGGTGAGATGGGAGCAGTTGTAAATTATGCTGGAGGGAACACTCGCTTTTGATGACAACCGACTGATATGAGATGATTTCATTGCTGCCAAAGAGTGTACGTGCTAGCCCTTTCACAATGTTTCACAACAGCGACAATAGATGTAATTATCGATATTTTGTCTAATTCTTATTTTTAATAAAACATTTCCCGTGTCATTTGTGCCAATATGTAATAGCCATTCCAGCGAGCATATAGCGTATACGCTGTATACTAACTTTGCACATATCCACGGGTACCGTCTAGGTCTCAAAAGTACGCCATCTAATGAAATCCAGTTTTCATTACAACTTAAAATTGGCCGGTGGCAAAATGTCAAATATTTCGCTATCTTGGGAGCCAAATTTTTCTGAGAAGGTCTCCCTCTCAGTGAATATTGTGTGTGCCATTTTTTATGATGCTGTCATTTTCTATGGTAACCATCACGTGAGCCTTAGTTTTCACATCGCATTTTATGTGTTTGGTCACTCTGCCCCTATAACTGTGTTAAAAACAATATTCATTACGATTTAGCCATGTTAAACAATATCCTAGCAGCTATTGACGCTTT